TTTTAATATATATCTTCAAAGATTAACTGGCTGGCTGCATGCGAATTTATTTCAACCCCTGCTGGATTCTTTTCTGTTTTGCTTTTTTTCTTTGATTTATTTGACTGCCCTTACCAATTTTTCCTCTCCGTATGAAAACATGGCATGTGACTTTCAATTTGTAATTTATTAACTTGCAAAAACTTTTTGGATCAAAATACTCAGAAAATATAGTTTCTGTCTTCTTCACTGCCTCCCTGCTCTCTCCCTGCTTTGAGCAACAATAGATGGTTTACAGTGAGGAGGAGGCTGACACCCAAGGGGGGAAACAGTTTGGCTAGCAAGATGCAATCTTCAGCTGATTTTTTTTTCAAAAAGCTTGATCAACTTAGAAAATCTGTGCAAGACTTTTTAAAAAACAAATATTAAACATTTCAAATCTATAAGAAGAATTTGTTTTCAAAGCAGCAGATTTGTCAAGAAGAAATATAGACACAGAAATAATACAGATGATTGAGAACATAGAGAAGCAATGTGTTTTTCTAAGTGTAATTTGGCCAAGAAGAAATATAGACTCAGAAATCATAGGGCCGACTACATACACCTTCCGGAAGCTTAACATTGTGCTTTTATATAATGGCAGAGAATTTTCTGGGTGGATGAGCAGCAAATGTTTTGGGTTTTTTAGGGGTTTGATGGACAGTGAGAAATGGACTTCATACATTTAATTGAGGAACAATTTTATCTGTTTTGGGGGGAAAGATAGATTGGCTTTGGAAACTTGACTTAGGGTATTAAATCAATCAACAACTGATAAGAGATGTTATAAAGAAACAAACATGTTAGGGTGTCAGGCTTTATTAGGGTTAATATTTGGGATGATTGAGGACTGAAGCCATGGTAAATTTTTTACGAGTTGATTACAATAACAGTTTTGGAATTTCAACTTTGTTTTTTTTCTTATTACTACTTACAATTTCTATTATACTTTTACATAATATATGTATTATTACTGTTTTTGCTGTTAACTATTTTGTTATTAATATAATTTCTAAATGACAGCCTAACAATTTGTAAGTAGATTTAATAGTTTAACAGTTTGAAATTCTTTTGGCCTGTTACGCAAGGGTGGGAAGCCAATATTGCTGTATTATACTAATCAGCATTCAACTAGGGAGAAAGTTAGGTGTATATTTTAGTTTCTTTAAGACACCTTTTTTTGTTAATGTCTTTTTTTTGTATTTTCTCTATTGTTGTTTTTAGTTAAAATATTTTGGTGTTTTGTATTTTAACTTTTTTTTTAATAAATTAAGATTTTCTACAAAAAAATCTGATTTTAACTTGGCAGGTTCTTAATCACAACTTTCACAGCTTTCAGCAGAGGTAAAAACATGCAGCCATAAAAGAAAAAAAAACCCCTCCCAATTGAAATAAATATATGTGCAAAGCTGTAGCCATGGGATCTTTTAGGAAATTTTATTTTACATATTTGTATCCTGCCTTATCATTTTTAGAAATAACTCAAGACAGCGAACATATCTAACTTTGAATACTTAAAAGGACTTAAAAAACCATTTAATGTCTTTTGCAATGCATTGTTTAATTTCAAATACCCATATGTTAGCATGTATTGATTTTTAAAGTAATTTCTAAACACAAATGTTTCTCAAAATGAACACAATTTATGTTTTTAAGAATTAAAACTCTTGTTTAAATAGTGATTGTCCTAGCAACACTTCATTCTCTCCAAAACCTGCACAATTTTGTAGTAATTTTTCTGAATATAGCATTAAAAAAAGCTACACTTTTTTCTGCTCATCTCCTCCTTACCCAGCTCCCTCACAATGATTTGATTCTATGAATGTTGTAGGATTCTAGTGGCAAGGCTTTCTTTTTCTTCATAACCCAAAAGATGCTTATAGATTTCTTGATTCGCACAGCAAAATTGTAGCAATATTTGGTAAGGTTATTAACAGAAGGCAGCAGGCCACTTGTAACCACTGATTCATCAATATTGGATCCAAAAGATTTTTAAAAATCTTCCAATCTGTAAAGATTTTCTTGGGGAAAAAAATTCCTTCAAATACACAGTATCTACTGGAAATTTTGATTGAAATCACTCTCACAGAAGGGGCCCAGGAAACAATTTGTATTTTACTTCAGTTCTTTTCATTTTAAAAAGACCCTCCCCCACAAAAAGAAAGTTATCTGTGTTTTCTGTGCTAGTCAATGGGAATTTTGCCATCATAAATCAAAGCAAGCAGCCTCTTCTTACACCTAAGTTAAAGTTTTGTTTTCCCTCTCCCCCACCCCCGAGAAATATAAGCCTCAATCTAAATCCTTTTGTCAGTGCTTGTCCCTATTTTTCATTAAAATTTAAATAATCAAGCTCTTTCAAATGAAATAAAGTATGGATTTTGAAGGAATGATATAATACATATCACATCACCTAAGTACACTTTTATGCCTAGGGATATTGATTGTTTCTCAGCTTGCAAAATTTTTCAGAACTAAGAATAATTTTAAAAAATCATTCTTTCTATAGCTCCATCATATTTGAAGTTTTATTTAATTACATTTTTTAAATCCCCCTCTTATTATTTTTATAGATAACTCAAAATGATGAACATGCCTAATACATCTTCCTCCTCCCCACAACAACAACCCTATATAGGTGAGTTCAGCTGAGAAAAATGACAGGCCCAAAGTCACCTAATTGGCTTTTCATATCTGAGGTGGAACTAGAACTGTCTCCTGATTTCTAGCCTGGTGCTTTAACCACTAGGACAAACTGGCGCTCATTGAAGCAAAATATATTGCATTGTCCCTCCTCAATGCTGACTAACTATAGTAGTACTTCCTGATCACATTCCAAGCGTTACTTGCAGAAAGTAAGTAATGCTTGGAAAGTTTTTTTTTAAATGTTTTATAGGATTAAATTTATTTAAGTCATTTCTTTATATATACTCATAATTCTAGGGAACAGTTTGGCCATTTCTTAAATTTTTGGGATCTTACTGCTAATGTTAGAATAGCCAGAGTCACATATCTATTTATGTTGTTTTATTGTACAAATAAGACAGATACTTCACATCTAATTACGTATCAACCCAAGTTCTTTCTTTACTTTCTTACATATCCTAAGAAACTCCGTTCCTGGTAAGCACAGCTAGAGATGATGGAGCCAGTTTAACAGAGGGTCCACTTTATACTATATAGTATGAAGCAGTAATGGCGAACCTTTTAGGCACAGAGTGCCCAAACAAGAAGGTGTGTGCATGTGTGTGCACATGCACGCACCAGAGTGCTGGTAACCCGAGGATTAGCTGGCCAGCACGCATGCGTGCCTCGGAAACCCAACTACTAGCTGGCTGGTGCGCATCAGAAACCTAATGACCAGCTGACTGAGCTGGGGTGATGGCACATGGAGTTTGCTCTTATTTTCATATACTAGTGGTTTACCCTGTCAGTGTTGGTCAGTTGCTTCATGAACAGTGTTTTGTTTGATGCCAGGTCTCTGCAGCCTCAGGCAGAGAAAGGCTATTCTGCACAACTCCCTCAAATGTTCTTTAAAATACAGTTTCCCAGCATTCCTTTAGGAATCTCCAACATGCAAACTGTGGGTTACTCATTCTAAAATGAATCCTCTTTACCTGGAGCTTCAAAATTTGCTGTTTGCTGGAAAGATGTGTAGCTAAAAGTCAGTCTACATTTAGTGTACATCTGACTTTGGAGAAATTTCTTCGTAACCAAAGAAAAGTTTATTTTCTGTTCAGTTCACACTCCTTGCTTGCTGAAGCTGGATGTCACAAAGCAAAGCACATATTTTCTAATTAACCCCCATTCCCCATTTTGACTGGCAGAGTGCTGTAGGAGGCTGAGTGCTGTCACGCCCCTTGGCCACACCCATCCACCATGCCCATGCAGCTATCATTACGGCAGAGAATCGGTTGCTAAATTATTTGAATCCCACCACTGGTGATGCTGTTTATCCTTCAATTTTCTAGCTTACCAAGAAAGAAATAATATAAAGTAATCTAAAGAATCTGAGCATATGCAATTAAAATAAAATTAAAAACTAACAGTAAAGAAATACTTTGGCTCTTTATTAGTTATAACCATCATCCCAAATGAACAATCCAAGAATCCCCATTTATTCTCTCAAATTCCCTTTATTTTCTCATGTATTCTACGTACAGTATTTCTCTCACACACGAATTACTCTCTCTCTCTCTCTCTCAAACTCAAAGACAATGAGATATTATCCTCAACTTCTGCCTCAGTGATTTTATTAGTAGTGGAAAAGAAACTATGAAGAGTAATTGAAAATAATGATATATTGGATACTAGAATGGTTTTCTTTTATATATATATATATATATATATATATATTCACAAGCTTCAGGGCTTTTTTTTTTTTTCTGTGTTTTTTTTTTTCTCTGGGAGAGCAACACAGAGTTGCAGTTTGTCAACAGAAAAAAAAAAGCCCTGAAGCTTGTGAATGAGATTTCACACAACCAGAGCTGCAGAACAACTTAGTTTACGTAGGTAAAACCTGGCTAGAAAGAATATGCATATATATATATATATATATATATATATATATATATATATATTTCCTTATTCAAGATGGTAATTTTAAATTAAAAATCTGCTGCTGCTGCACTTTTAAATTCTTACCAATACCAAATAATTAGTATTCCAGAAAGTTATCTACATCTGAACAGAAATGACAGATGGCATGCAATATCATTTTTTAAAAAAATAAATGCCCCATGTGCTAAGGTTCATCTACTGATTAGATGTATGAAACAATTGTCACATCTATTAGGCAGTTTGAGTTCTCCTACAACTCGAAAATCTCAAAATACTCAAAGTTAACATGGTAAAGTGTTTCAGTTACACAAATTATGAGCTTTCTAGATAATTACTGAACTACTTCTTTTTGTTAATTTGAGTTTATTTCTGTTTACATTTTAATGAAAATCTGGACTAAACTGACAAATTATAATATGTATTACCTCCTTCTTGGTGTACGAATCCAATTTAGAAAATCCTGAGTAAATGGCTTTCCAACCTCCACTTGAACATATCCAGTGAAATGGAGCTCACCATATCCCCCAGCAGTTCCATTGTCAAATTGATCTCAACTGGAATCTGCCTTCCTGTAACTTGACCACTGTTCTCTGTCCTGTACTTTGAGAAAACAGAGAACAGGTTATGGCCATTTTTTGTACTCTCCAACTTCTTTGAATGCTTTCATACCCACTAACTTTGTCATCTTTTCTCAAGTTAAAAATGAGAAATAATGAGAAATAAACAAAAAATATAGGGGGAAATATTACCAATTTTAAAAAAAGAAAAAAAATGTTATTAGATTAAGGAGAGGTGAAGAAATATATTATAAGTAGAATGTCGCTTTGGAAAAATGCTTAAGAAGGAAATATAATCTTTTTGTTTATATGTTGTATAAATGTTTGTTGTCTATATGTCATGGTGGATAAAAATTAATGACTTTTTAAAAAATCAAAAAAAATCAGATTTTTTTTATTTAAATCGGATTTTTTTGATTTAAATTGGATTTTTTTTATTTTTATCAAATTTATTTTAATAAAAAACTTTTGGGCTAAAAATCTATCGTAAGATAGTTTTCTATTTAAGATATATAAATAATTTAGTTTATTCAGCATGAAATGGAGCTTAGTTATGTAGCATGAGGCTGTATATTCTGCAACACTGGGACTATCAGTGAGTCAACAGTGGGTCAAAGGAGTAGCAGAGATGACAGTTGCTCTTTAAAAATTATGATTTAAATCGAGTTGATTTAAACCAAGCTTTTTTACTAGTGATTTAAATCATGATTTAAATTGTGATTTAAATCAACTCGATTTAAATCAAATCCACCCTGGTATATGTTATGTTATGTTTTTTTTAATATTTATACTCAAATAAAAATTTATTTTAAAAATTTAAAAAAACAGTCAGTTTCATCCATCTGTCTTTCTAGAATCTAGCTTAGTCCTCAGAATGAACATCAACATTTTTTAATATTTTTATCCTACTTAACTCAAGGCACAAAACACACCACTACTCATTCCTCCTCCTATTTTCCTCAGAACAATAACCCTGTGAAGTGACTTGTACTCAGAGAGTGACGGGCCCACAGTCATCCAACTGGTTTCAAAGGTGGATAACAACTTAGCGACTATACTAAACTGGCTTTATTATTTTGTTAATAGATACTTGCTTATATTCCATATATTGAAGCCACAATAAAAGACTATGAATTTTGAGTTAAATTATTCACTGAAAAACTAAGAAGAACAGTAACGGATTCTAGTAGCATAACTCTTTTTTCCTTCTGCAATATCGCAAGGTTTTGCTTTATTTTTTTTAAACTCCCGACAGCATTCAGTTTTAAAACTTTCTAATCAAGTTTGCCATGCTCCTACTGAACACATTCTTCTCACTTCCCATGGAGGGTAATTTATATTATGCCTGTAATTTCTAAATTAGATAATGCAGGCTATAATTCACAAAAATGGAAAATGGATATAAGGAAGTATTACTTCCTTAATACTGCCCATGTCAAAAAACTCACACATTTCTTGTTTGCACCTTTGACATTTTTTTTTTAATTTGATTTATATGCCGCCCTTCTCCGGAGACTCAGGGCGGCTTACTGTTTAGTTATATTGGATGAATCTAATCTTCACAATAAAGGTGTGAATCAGCTGGTTCTTTAGCAATAAGTAATTCTGGTCTCTTTTAAGGTGAAATACATTGCTGAGGAAAACAGGTTTAAGGTGGTGGTTCAATCTAAGTATCAATTGCCAAGCTAATTACACATTTCACAGAAAATAGACTCAATAAAACCAATATACTTTGACAACCATTCTACTCAAGATTAGCTCAAGATCACCCAACTAGAATTTTTTAAATCTTCCATTAAGAATTTGTATACAAATTATGATAAATTCCTTTTTCTCAGTCATTACTATTTCCAAGAATTGTCCAATATAAATACTACTTTTTGGAGATCATCTTTCAAGTTTTTCTTGTCTTTTTTTCTCAGGATTTCTCAGAATTGCTACTTCCTCCCAAAAGACTATAGCTTTTCTCACATAATAAAACGATTGACACCATCCCTCTACATAGACATCAGCTTGCATTCTATTTCCCTATCATGCAAACATATAATTTTCCCCATTCCTCTTCCCTCTAGACCCATGACAGCGAACCTGTGGCACGTGTGCCAGAGATGGCACACAGAGCCCTTTCTGCTGGCACACGCACCGTCGCCCCAGGTCAGATCTCCATGGCGTTTCTTTCGTGAGCTTCTGTTTCCCTGCAAATGATGAAACAGAAGCTCACGAAAGAAAAAGATCTTACCTCTTGCTGCGCTGCCGGTGTTGGGATGCCCCACCTCCTACCAGCCAGCTGCTCTTCGGGTCTCTGTTTCACATGCGCGCATGTTCATGCATGCGCATGTCACACACATCCATGCAGGTTCATATTTGCACATGTCCGCACATGCGCACCTTTCTGTTTGGGCATGCATGTGCGCAGTTTGGGCACTCACAGCTCTAGACTATTCCAGAATCTCTCTCCTGCATTCCCTATAGTGTTTTATGCAATCCATCTTTTACATGTCTTCCATTCCTTGGTTCCATTTCTAAATTTCGTGCTTCCATAATTGCTCCTTTGCTCAGCAGTTTCCCCCCCTTGCTGCAATCTACCTAAGACTGATCATTCCATTACTGTTCTTGATTTAAAAATAGGGTTACTGCATAATATAATTTTAATCTTAGATGCATGCCCTTTAAGCAACCTATATACAATGCAATTCTGTACAAAAAATTATACTTTTCCAGTACTAAATAGTGTAATTACCTAAGATTAAAAAAAAAAAAAATTAAAAAAAATTAAAAAAAAAAAAAAGAACACAGTTTGACCTAAAATATGTTTCTGATTGATCTCCAAATTGAAATCAGTCAGTATGCCTTCAAGTATAAATTACATTTTTTTCAGGATAATTAAAATCCTGTCTCTCTAGAAAGTTTCATCAGCTACAAATGCTGAGTTTGATTATATTTCCCATATTCTTTCAGTTTAATGTTAGTATTTTACTACAAACCCCATAATAAGTAAGATACAGATTATAAAAGTCTGCCACCCATTTATGAGGAAAATGATAAAATAAATCAATGTAATGTGTTACCTAAATACATTTTTTCCACAATTCTATTTGTGGAAAATAGTTGTGGAATACTTGTAAAAATTTTATAAATAAAAAATTCTCCTCCAGAGGAGGAGAATATGTTATCCATATTCTGGTAACATAAGGCACTGATACTACTATGAATGACATATCTAGAATTATGCGACTTTGGTAGTCAGTAGTGTATAAAATCAAGTAATTGAAACTGATCACAGCTTTCCTTGTTAAATATATTATTTCAATTAACATTGTAGGTTGTTTTTGTAGTACTTAAAATGCAAAAAGAGAAGGATGTAATAATAATCTCATAACTGAGAATACACAAGTCAACAGGAAGAATTGATCAATAATGAATGAACAGTCTCTAATTCATCACAATCAGTGTTGCCTTACCATAAATTCTTCTAGTGTCTGGTAGATTTTCCCACGGAAATCACAATAATTTTTACGTTCTTTGCACTGTGGACAGCATTGAGTAGTGTCAACATGAATACAGCGAGGATGGAGTCTAGGACATTCTGGCTGAATGCACAGTGGGCCTTCTTCAGTACAAAGACAAGGGCATGCAGAGGGTCCTGGAGTAAACTTCTCCCCAATTGCATAAACAAAGCCACTCTCATCCACACAGCCTTTTCCACGGTAGTCTGGATAAACATATTCCTCTGGGGGTTCAGATGTGGTACCAGCAATAATATCTAAGACTGAGAAATCTTCAGCAACAGGAAGTTCCTCTTCAATATCTTTGATCTGGTTATGAGCTTCAAGGTTCCCAAACTTATTATTACTTGTTGCCTGAATACTCAAAACCTGTTTTTGCTTTGTCCAAGATTCTTTATTAGAGTAATTTCTGTTGCCTTTGTTTTTCCAGTCCCTCGTGCCTTCTTCTCTTCCATTCATAGTCATTTCATTCATTTTTCCTGGTCCATGATTCTGTCTTTCTTGGACTGATGATTGATATATTTTTTCCTCACTTGTTTTTATCTCCTGCTTGTCTTGAGCCTTGGATAGTTTTTGCAATGGTGTAGTAGAATTACACAGAGCAACCATCAGGCAGCATGTCACAAGAAGGGAACTAGAAAGAGCCCCAATTGCCATTGCAGTATTACTGGGCATCATCTAAGGCATCTCAGACGGACAAAACATATTTCATTCAAAGCAAAGGATGTCGGCCAGTCAATACACAGTCCCTGGGAAAAGATGAGTTAGGATACTTCAAATAATTCTGCATTTTTACATAGAAAGCAGTATATATAGTCTTTATCCAGTATGTGTAAAATGAAAAGCAGGCCAAGAAAAGCACTGGGTCTTAAAGATTTGGTTTCAAATTGTAGCCTAACTGTGGACATGTTGGCCATACCTGAATAGACTAATGCATTTCAACTTGTTTCCCACATAGGAGAGGAGAATAAGGATCTATATCATTTAAATAGCTAAATAACTTTTTAAAAAAGAAGCAGGGTGAGAAATTTGCTCTCTTAGTAATTATATATTGATGGGGAAGAAAATCAATGTAATGCTTAGATGTCAATACAAAAAAATTAAAAAGTACATTAACTGAGGGAAGAAGTAAAGAAGAGGAAGGGATACAATTGCTTCATAATAGTAGTAAATTTTAAGTAAGATAATGAATTTACCTTTAAAATATTAGGGTTTTTTGTGTGTGTGTGTTTGGAGAGACAGAAAGAGAGAGAGAAGTAATCATTTGCTTTTCTGCAAATTATATATAAACAAAAATTAACAAGATTATCCAGAACATAGAAGAATTTAGAACATGCACTATAAATTCATTAATATTTTGCATTTCTGCTTGCGCATTGATTTTTGTAAACTCCAAAACATAGATATGAAATGTCATATCTCTCTCTCCTTCTCCTTCTCTCTCTCCCTCTCCCTCCCCCTCCTCTCTCTCTTGTTATGCAAGTCAATGAGCAAAATAAATATTTGATTTTATATGTATTTCACCCCACTATTCCTTAGTTCATAAAACATGAAGTCTTTTTCTTGTAATAACCAATTATCTCAACGGATGTTTTTAAAAAATATATACTCAAAAATAATCATTTGAATCAATATTTTCTACACTATATTGCTGAATATGCTATATAGATTCTCAGTGGCCATCTAAATTAATAAAGGTTTTTTTTAATCCATAAAACTTCTTTTAGTACAGAAAAATCCTATTGTCTAACGTTCAAAAAAAGGAAGCAAACCTTATTACATATAAACAGATGCTGACAAAAGACAAGGAATCATTTTAAATGATCATAGTAAATAGTACTACATTTAAGAATCTTATGTTCAATTTCTAGATTTCAGCATTATGTAGTATCATGTACTTAGAAATTAATTCTGTTGTTCCATAAGTTTATACCCAAGCAACTGCATGCAGAAACAAAACCTTAAAAGACAAGAATGTTTACTGCAGTGTGAAAACAGTTCCCTATCCTGATGAAGGAAGTTCCAAAGAGTCTATCTTCTCAACAAGTCTTTCAAACTGAGGTACTCAATTTTTCAAAAGTAAGAGGGGGTTGAAGAGAGTTATCTTAGAGAAATTAGAGGAACACTCATGGATTTGACTGTAAAATACTTCCCAGAATATGTTATTCATCCTAAATTTTACACCTAAACACTGGGATAATCTATCAGATTTGTTAGGATCATAAAATATTGCATGCATACATACACACACAGGCAAATATACACAAGAGCACACAAGATCATATAAGGGAACCACTTTGCTGAAATTATTTAACGTATGGAATATCATACATGGCCTAGCAAGATATATTAATATTTCACTTAGATCAGTAAAACACAAAAAAATATATATGTTAAAAAGACCTATGTTCAAATGCCAATGTCTAGGCCTTTTGCTGAAGTTAAATCTGGAATTTGCAAGTGCCTGAGGAAATGAGATGTGTTTCTGAAAAGCTTGTAGTAAAATGCTTTATTCTGGAAAGGCTCTACCAGACTCCTCCTGATTTTTATCTGAGAACTAGGTACTGTATGCTGAATTTCATTATGATAGAAACAGGACAGAAAATCTAGCAAATAATATAAATCAAATGCTCATATGTATTACTCTCTTGTGAAGATTCCCCCCTCCATTTTGTATTCATCTTCATTATAAAGCACAATCGACATGGCATTTTAAATTTTTTTAAAAAAAAAAATACCACCAAATACTCATTTCAAGGAAGCTTGAGGGTGAGCAAACAGACACAGCCAAGGATAGGATGGAAAACAATATATATCAGTGCAGTTACACGGATTGTAGCTTAACGTAAAACAATTAAAGGAAATAGCCGTCTATGATAGCCTTACAACAATAAGCTCCTTCTTGGTTAAGCTTAGTGCTTTGCCTCCATCGCTGCACACATACAGTACACATACAGTGCAACTTTCCCGTCCCTTTCCCCGTCCCCAGTGCAAAAGTTCCCGCTACTACTGGCGCCCCAAAGGACCGGAAGAGCTCTTCCTCTCTTTACCTTCCACTGCATAGCCTTTACTAGGCAGATCCTTTCCTTCCCCTCGTTCCAGACAAGTCAGCCGGTTGCTCCTCGGCTCGGTAAAGCAAGCAACTCGTCTTTTGTCTCCCATCCTCCGTCCGGAAGAGAGAAGACCCGACCGGCGACTTGGGCCGCCACTCCCGCTCCGCTGCCCACTTCTCTTCGTTTAAGAAGCGAAGCCTCAACCTCAGTCACCCGAACGCAAAGACTGACTCCTCCCTGACGTTTTCACATTGCGATTTCCTCGCAGGCACGCTTGCCGCCTCCTTCCTCGATCCGCATAAAAAGGGTAGCCTGAAGCGCGCTTCCCACCGCTTTGAGTGGCTCCGTCCCCCTCTCGGCCACTTGCCCGACGTCCGGAATTGCTGCCTGCTGCCGAAACGTCATTTGTTGCCCCATGGAAGAATTGCCAGGGGTGAGAGAGCGCTTGCAAAAATGATGCCCGCAAGCAGGCTTCGAGTTGCAGTAGCTATGGGGTTGCTTCCTTATCGCCTGCTCTGGTTCCCGCTTTCATGAAGCGGCGGGAAGAGGCTTATTTCTGGCTGGGGACTGATGTTGATGATGAAATCGTTGTCTAATTTATACAGCGCTTTGCACATTAAACAAGACCACCCGAAGGAAATGTGAGAAAGGCGGCAGCGCGGACAATGGCGTTTCTATTGCTTTTTCAAGAAGGAACATTGTGTTGGAAACAAGAGACCTCAGTATGAGAAACACGCGTGCCACCTAACCTGTATATACTGTAACAGTTCAGATGGTATTGTAGGTAAATGCTGCTCCCAATTCATTCATTTCTTTAAATTCTTCTCTCTCTCTCCAGGACAAAACTGTGCTGATCTCCATGTTTTGCCCTTAATAAAAAGTAACCATGTTATCTAGGTATGTATGTAATGTAATTTCCCTGCTTTAACCCCTTCCTATGCTCTATGGAAAGAATATACAAGTACAGGTAGTCCTCGACTTACGACCAAAACAACCCAAAATTTATGTTGTTTAGTGAGACATTTGTTATGTGAGTTTGGCCCCATTTTACAACCTTTCTTGCTTCAGTTTTTAATCCCTGCAGCTGATAAATTAGTAACTTGGTTGTTAAATGAATTTGGCTTCCCCATTGACTTTGCTTGTCAGAAGGTTGCAAAAGGGGATCACATGACCTTGGGACACAGCGTCATAATATGAATCAGTCGCCAAGCATATGAATTTTGATCACATGATCATGGGGATGCTGCAAAGTAACTGAAAAATGGTCATAAGTTATTCTTCAGTGAAGTTGTAACTTTGAATGGTCACTAAATGAACTGTTGTAAGTCAAGGACTACCTATCCCAGGAGTGTCAAACTGGTGGCCCACGGGCCGGATGCATCACGTGCAGGCCACACCCACCCCAACTCCACAAAGGCAAAAAATGTCATGATACATCACGTGACACGATAGAGTTTGACACCCATGACCTATCCTTTCTTTTCCCAACCCAATTCTAAGATACAGTATACTTTTCAGTAAATGTTAATGTTGAACCAAAATAGTTAAAATGTTACCAGATTTTGCTTAAGTGATTTTACCCGGTTTATACCTACAGCACAAACACTTTTTGGAAATACTATGATGTTGCCTTCATATTTTCATCACTGGTATGAAAGTATCCCAAATGTAAAAACAGCTTTAAAATGTAAAAATATGTTAGAGTTTAATGCCTGCTACCTTGAAATAAGTGACTCCAATAACAGGCAAAGAAAACAGGGTAGAATGAACAATAGGGATATCAGGTGTCATCTGATGGGTTCCTTCCAGCTCTAGGATGGAAGCATTCAGCAGTGGAAAAATTCTTAAATGGGGATTCTGCCTCAAGTCACTCTGTGTAGGTTTATTAACTTTAACATTGTTTAGGGCTAAATTTCAGTTGTACAGTATATAAATGTTTTAACATAAGATCATATCTATTAGTGTAGCAATACTTGCCACTTAGGGAATTTCATATAAGACAAATCCATCAGATTTGCAACCTAAATAACTTGCATAACAATCATGAAAAAAGAGATACCTGCTTCTTGGAAGAAAGACTATTAACATTCTAAACAAAACATTAAAGTTTAGAGTCATGACATTGTTCACAAAGGTATACTATCAAGGTCATACTCTAAATTTTAAAGTATATCTCCAAAAGTTGATCATTATAAATGCTAAATGAAAAAAGATTGATGTCTTTGAACTGCAGTGCTGGAGAAAATTGTTGAGAGTGGAACCTTGGAACAGCATGAAGTTCAAATCATTCAATCATTCAAGTAAAATTAGAAACTGACTTGAAACACTATAATGACACTATGGCTTCAGTATTGGGATATCTGATGCAGAATCTAGAGACTAAAGAAGATGATGATGCTTGGAAAAATAATAATTTCTCATCCAATTTGGCCATTCATTTTTTTTTAGTATATATTATAACTAATCCATCCTAGTATCACTTTTATTCAAACAAGAATATTCTAACATATGAGAAGTTTTGATGAGGAAAACATGGAGGTTTTTTTTTTTCATTTTCCTTATCTATACCATCTTGAACTGATCAAATATAGCTGAATAGGTAAAAATGGGATTGAAGTATGATCATCATCAAAATCTTGAATACTTATTTTTCTGAAGAAAGGATAGTAGGGTTCAAGTCTTCTCTGAAAATACCAATCTACAATTTGTAATCCCTTTCCAAGTAAATAGAGCCACCATATATGGACAGCAAAACTGCTTGGCTCTATTTCTTTGTGTCATCTATTGCAGCCAGAATATGACAGAGCTAATCATAATGGGAGGAAAGCACAGGTGAAATCCAGCAGGTTCTGGAGAACCAGTAGCAGAAATTTTGAGTAGTTCATAGAACTGGCAAATACCACCTCTGGCTGGTCCCAGAGTGGTGTGGGAATGGAGATTTTGCCATTCCCACCAAGCCATGCCCACAGAACTGGTAATAAAAAATTTTGGATTTCACCACTGGAGGAAAGATGTGTTTGTACCAATTTTTAAGCAACCATTATAGCAGGTTGTTTTAAACCTTGACTGAATCTTTCTTAATTACTTCACAAATTTTCCTTTTTGTCCTTCTACTTCTGTGTTCACATATACATTTCTGTGAGCCAATGTATTTTTGGTTAAAAAATGTATTTTTTTGGTAAATAAATTTTCTGCTGACACTAAAAAGGTATTAGCTACCCTATATTTTGTTTGCTGCTTTGAGCAGTAAAATTATTTTTCAGTAAATAATATACAAATATGAAGAGATCTTTAATTATGCAAACAGTTTTATCCCCTTGGATGAACACACATTATATGACTGAAATTAATTTTAGGCATTCTAGTGAAAAAACTAAGATTGATTAAATAATAATCATTTGGAGTTGCTTCTTCCTATATTAAATGAAAATGTTAGATATGTAAGTTTAAGAAGACTAACATTCAGGAAAAACTGGTATCTGGAAACATTTTAGCTGATAGGACTGACCAATAGAGGCCAGTATGTACTTTGAAATCTGAATGAAAAGGATCTGCCCTTCCTCGTTCTCTTCTTATATTATAAACACCAAAGACATAAAAAATAAATATGTGGATTGATTATCTAAGTTAGGAAATAAAATTTTGTGCAGTCCAAACTTACTTTTTTTGTCCCAGATACAATGGAATTTATCTATACAAATCTGGTAGGTTTGTTAAATTGCTCAATGCTACCGGGTTTGAGCTGCAAAAATCCAGATAGCCATCATGTGGCAGCAAGAAAACAATTTCAGTTAGTCAGTATATAAATTCTCTGTGTTACAATTGCAAACTTGCAAACACAAAGAAGAGGCAGTCCACCTTTTTTCCAAAGCACCAGAAGGCAAAACAAAAAACAATGAATGAAAACTAATCAAGGAGAGAAGCAACCTAAATCTAAGGAAAAATTTCCTAACCAATGGAATGTCTTGCCTTCAGAAGTTATGGATACTCCATCACTGGAGGCTTTTTAAGAAGAGACTGGAGAGACACTTGCCTGGAATGGTATAGGATTTCCTGCTTGTGCAGGGGGCTGGACTAAAAGACCTCCAACAACAGAATAATAATTCTGTTGTTTTTCCCCCCTGGCTTCTATTTGTGCTGGACAACAGGCGTCCCCAGACCCTGGTGCACAGACCGGGAGTGGTCTGCACTCTATTGGGAACTCCATCTAAGTGCCATACTAGTATATGCCATACTAATGCATGCTTTAGACTTTTGCTAGCTGTAGCCCCACCTGTGCCTTTGTAAAAAGTCACCAGGGGAAGACCCCAGAACTCCTCCAGCCAGTGGCAGAACCCAAAGCGCCATGAAAAGAGATTTCAATGGACTTTATAGTAGAACTACCAGAAAGTTCAGGGAAGACCGTAATTTGGGTGATAAGTGACTTTATTTTCTAAATAGGTGCACTTTGCACCATGCCAAAAGATCCTTTCTGCTCAGACTTTAACTAAACTGTTCATGCGGCATGTATACAGACTCCATTGGACTCAGAGAGAATTATATTGGATCACGGAGTTCAATTCACAGAGTTTTGTGGTTCCGGCAAGAATTCCTAAAAATTTTGGGGACTATGCTGGGCTTAGCTCCTCCCATCATTCAGAAATAAACGGGCCCTGTGAATATACAAATGGGGTCTTAGAACAATAATTCAGGAGCTATATCAACTATTAGCAGGACATGTGTATGGACTGCCTCCCCTTCGCTTAGGTAGCTTATAATAACTCAGTACATAGTAGCACTGGATTCACCCCTTTCAAGATAGCCATTGGGCAGGACTTTGTATCTATTCCCAAGCTACCCTGCAAACTGTGTCTTTAAAGGAATGAATTACACAATTACAAATCTCCTGGCCAATGGTTAGAAAGTCTTTAGAGGAAGCAAGGGAATTGTATAAAAAGCAGGCTGATAAATGCTTCAAACCAAAAGATTTTAAAATTGGGGATGAAGTCTATCTACCAAATATTTACAATCTAGACAACCCTCAAAGAAACTGGGTCCAATGTTGGCCATTTCTCCATAAAAAAGATTTATTAACCTGGTGATTATTGAACTTGAATTGCCAAAACCCTCAGATATGTTCACCTGGTATTCCATTGTGGTCTACTAAAACCAACATTAATTGCTATATCTGGCAATTAAACCACCTCCCAATCCCATTATGTTGAAGGGGAGCAACATTTTGAAGTCAAAGACATTTTGGATTCATGAACATACTGGGTGGGGGGGAAACCCAATACTTAGGCATGGAAAGACTTTCCACTGTCTGAAGCAGAATGGATGGATTTGCAACACATTAGCGCTTCTAAATTACTTTTCAAAGTTCCACAAACAATACCTGGACAAACCTCATTGAACATCAATCTATTTTGCATTTGTATTTGTCTTTTAAGTAGATGGCTTCTACTTACAGCTTTGCTTGCTCCCATTAGTGACTGATCATTACTTTGACTTTTTTCCTGTTTTTTATACGTTTTTAAAATTATTTTTGACATTTGTTTCAAGTCTTAAT